TAGTAAAAGATATGAATTATCTTGTGTACTTTACTGTCAATGTACATAATTTAGTAAAATGATGACATGTATAAAATGATATTCAAAGTCTGTGGATTTTTTGTTTTTTAAAACTTAACATAAAGTCAGTTGTCTCTTTGGGGTTTTTTTAAAAGCATTTTTTTTTTAGTTTTTACTATATACAAATAAGGAAAATCAATGACCCCCGGGGACGTGCCAATTTGACCCCAGGGCATTTATTTGAACAAACTTGGTAGACACTGACTAGACAGTGTTTCATGCCAATATTTAAGCTCTAGCTCTTTTGGTTTTCTGTAAGAATCTTTTTAAGTTTTTCTTTTGGTTGCCATTGCAACCAGAGTTCTGCATGGAATTAAATTCTTTGTACAATTTTTAAAGTTGGCCACCAAAGGAACATTCCTATGAAGTTTGGATTAAATTGGCTTAGTGGTTTATGAGGAGATGTCATTTAAGTAAAAGTGTATGGACGGATGAACGACAGACGGCTGGACACCGGACGAAAAGCGACCATTTAGCTCACCATGTCACTTTGTGACAGGTGAGCTAAAAATAATGGCATTAAGTTTGTTACCCAGGACTTGCTGGTTTGATCCTTGAGCTAGACAAAATTTCTCAGTAACAATTGATGTCTAATTGTCTTACACTGCTGATTAGTTGTCAGTCACTTTGCAAAGAAATTGGTTATTATTGGTTAGTTATCCAGAAAAGGTAGTTTAACCAACCAACTGCCAAGAAATGACTCAAATTGTGCTAAAACTGTTAAAACCAAACAAACAATCAAACAGTTTAAAATATATGTATATGAATTGCAAAGAATTTTTCAGTTACTTTTATAAGCACTTGTTACCATCCTTCTTGTATGTTTGGTGCCAAGGACTTCACTGATTTCTTTATCAAAATCTTCAATAACTGACTCAGCTTCCTCTTGGGTACATATATACAAATAAGCTTCCTCCTTGGTTTCAGTGGATGGTGTGACTGCACTAGAAAATCCAGATGCTACATCTTTAAAGAACCTTGCACTGAATGTGGGCACAGCAAACCCAATCTTTCTCTGATTCTTTAAGAATGCATTTGAACATACTTCTAAAATCATTTTCTTAAATTTCTTAGCTGTCATTATTTCAGGAGACTGTTTTTGATTTGAAGTACATACCCTATATGAAGGAATAAGAACTAGGGTTTTACATGAAAATACTTTGCAGTTTTCAAAATATTCACAGACACCAAATGGCAAAGATTTGGTCACAACTTTATCTAACAAAGAGCCATAATCCTCAAGGTTTTTATCTGAAAATAGAATTTTATTCATTGAATTAAATATATTCAAGACAAGAAACATGTCAATTCTGAAAGACCAGGTTTTCTACAAGGTTTGAGTGTTTTATTTGGTTAAAGTCATTAAAAAATCAAGGTTATATTTGAAGAAATCAATATGAAGGTTTGGCCTTTAAACCGCAGGTTTTGTTAAAATATTAACCAAATCAAAAAATAAATTACAGTGAATGGAAATTTTGATTAAATTTTAAAATTTGATCTTGATGGTCAAGTTTATATAGGATTTCAGATCATACTTATTTCATGTAGCAGGATGTTATTCAACTTAATTAAATGAGAGCATGAAATACAAGAGGGTAATTTATATGACCCTAAATCACTCACCAGAGCATTTGGTCTATATGTAAAAGATTCAATTACCAGAATATTTCTTGTTCAATAGACCTTTAGTTTAGGAAATCAGAACAAATTTAGCAATTAGTTTCTTCAAAATCGAACAAGCAACTTAAGGAGCTGTCATTTAAAGCTTATTTCTATTTTAGCTGAGGCTGCCATCTTGTTAAACACACCTGAATCATTTGATCAATTAAAGTAAGACTATCTAAAGATCATACTGTACAGTTTCATCAATATCTACCAAGAAATTGACATGGAGACGTCATTTAAAGATTTCCTACTATAAGCCCGGGCTTATGATAGGCTAAGCGACTGAAACAAAAATGTCATTCAAAGCTATTTTATGTTTGTAGGTCTGGAGGTGATCTTGTTCAAAAGACCAGAACCATTTGACAATGTGCATTTTTTGTAAAGGACAATCTTAGGACAATCCATGTTCAGTCATAAAAATCTAAATAGTGGTTAAACAGGGGATGTCTTTTAAAGGCTCTTCAAGTATTAGCTCTGACTCAAGGTTTCCATTAATTGATAAATGCAAGTAGGATAGTTGGTTGCAGGTATTGCAGTTGTGCTGTAGGAAATGTTTTTTTTCATACTGCAATCAATAGCTGCACAAACATATCCTATTAAATCTGGTTTAAAACTGACATTTATCTAGTAAGTTTTACCAGCAACCAGCTGTTCTACTGGCTTTTTGTTAAAGCATGATTGCGATAAACAGCAATGTTTATTATTATCTTTCTCGAGTAAGGCATAAAAACTGTTAGGTCACACTTATCTATTGGTATAACCAGAAGTTCCTTCATATTTTTAAAGTATGGGACAGTCCATTATAAAGTTACATAGGTAAAAGCAAAGTTTCCCATCCAGATTGGTTATACGACTAATAATAAGAACGTTAACAATGTTTTTCCTAATTAAACCTGGTCACTTTATTTTTGACACTAGATGACCTACATTCAAACTTGACCTTCTAACAAAGGTTACTTAAGATTAAATAATAAATGTGACCTCTTGAGTATAAACAAAGATTTTCTTAGATTTGACCTCATGACCTAGATTTGAACAAAGATGATCATTAAAGATTTTTAAAACTGAATAACCCTTAGTGTCATAAAGACTGGTCTCTTAATATTTCTACAAAGACAAAAAAAATTTGCCCTTTAGTGGCATTAGGTTTTCCTTTTTCATTTTTTGGTGATCCCAAAATGACTGGGATTTGGGAAGTATTAAACTCCTGTGGCAGGGGATACATCAAAACTCACCTCTTTTAAATAAATTTCCCCCCCAAATTTTTTCATCAACAGGAATTACAAAAGGCATCAAACTCACCCTTTGGTAAATTTAGCCTCAAAAAGAGAAATAGTACTATTACCACCTGATGGAACCCATGAGACAAAATGATTGATCCCTGAAAATAAAAATACAGATTCCATGTTGATGTATGAAGTATGAAGTGGCAGAGAAATATTCTTAATAAGATTTGAATCTTAGTTAAACAATTGAATATATATGATGCAGGGCATTAAATGCCTTTAATTGATTGAAAGCTTTATTAAAGACCTTTAAGAGTGCTGTAGGAAAAGCTGAACATAGAAGAAGTAGTTAAACCCTAGTCACAAGTTTGTCTGCTCACCTGCTGAAATTTACAAGCCTTTTCAATTGGAAAACTTAACAAAAAGTATAAAATACAGCAAACTTACCATTCATCATAATTTTGTCAAGTTTTCCTGCCTTGCCATCTGTCTGACAAGTCATTGTCCAACAGCAATTTTTTCCCTTTGAGATTTCATTCATGATTTTCCTTCCTTCTTCTGACTCTAGAAGGCACTTATATCTGTCCCCATTCCTTAAAGTAATCTCATCATGTGGAATGCTTTTTTCCAATTCTTTGGATGCTTGCTCTCCAAGACTATAATCCCCATAAAATACAATCTGTCCCATCTCAAAGCCTATTTTTACCTTATATTTTTCCTCAACCTCAATGACCATTGACAGGTTAGGAATTTGCAAAAATTCTGCTGTTGCTGGATTGCATTTTTTCCTGAATGTTTCCCCATTTTTACTTTTTTAAACCAAAAAAATGAGTCTTTTTCCCTTTTTATGAAAATTCTGATGATATAGGGCCCTTATATTTTTTGCTGTCTTTTTCTGAAAAATTCCTGTCTGAAAATTTTATAAAGGAGACCCTTTTTTCCAAATACCCCATTTGAAAAAAATCTTTTCGGTTTGTTTGTAATAGGAACTTTTTTTAAACTCCTTTTTTCAAGTTTCCCTTTCCATCACCAAGAAAACTGACCAACCATAAAAACTCACCATCTTTTTCCCTCCCTAAAAAGAAGAAAAGGGCCCTTTTTAATGTCTTGGCCAAAATTACTCATTGATGGGGCGGGCCTTACTAAAAATTGTTTTAAACCCCTTCAGACAAGTCCTTAAGTTCCACTTTTTTTATTTTCCTTGCATAAGCATCCAACTCGTTACTAGCATTCTCCACATCATCTTTCATCTCTGATGTAATGGATACTGATTTAGACTGTAAGCTATATTTCACTTCTACACCTGGAAAGGCCTCCTTAATGTTTTCCTCAAGTCCAGAAGCCATAAAATACCTGATAACATGCTCCTGATAGTAAGCTACTTTTTCTACACCTTTTGGTTTAAGATTCAACAAATCTATCATTCTCTGTGCCTCAGAAGACATTTCTTCAAGATAGACAATGTGATAGCAACTTTCGCGTTCTTCATTGCTTTCATCATCTGTAATTTCCAGTAGCTGTATCTTTTCCTTGCTGTTTGTAATGATTTCTTTTATTTCCATTGTGATCTCAACTTTTCCTGTGATTATTTGCTCTTTTATGCTATCTAGCAGAAGTTTTTTAGCACTCTCCAAACGTTCCTGTGTAGGAGCCCATACAACAACTTCATTAGAAACTTGTATGTGAGCTGGACATTTTCTCAATTTCTCTTTAAAGTGTAGAGTAATACTTTCTGTTTTCAGGAATTTCAATGAAGATGAAGAAACAGAAATGCTGTTTTTGACTACTGAATTAACAAATTTTGTTAAATACTCATTTGCCTTTACAACATCATGTTTATGCCTGCCCTCTATTTGAAATTCTGTTATATTGTCATCTCTTTCAACACATTTTACATCTTTGCAATGTTTGGATAATTGCTGTTTAAAGTTCAATAAATGTAAGTACTGAATTGTGTCTATATCATAGACAGGAGGGGAAACATAAACATTTCTTGTCTTATCATGTGATACATCCAATGCTTCTGTTCTCATGAATGGGGAGCTGTTGCTAGTTTTCTTTTTCAACTTCAGCTCCATATATATCTTCTAAAGCAACAACATCTCCTTCAAGTCCAACCACATTTAATATTGAACTGTCTTCTGATGAATCAAAGAGCAATACAACAGTGCCATTTAATAAAAATTCTCTACAAATTTCTTTTAAAGTGTCTAAAAACTGACTGAACTCCTGCTCATTTGCAAATATGTACTTTTTAATCATTAGACCTGCAAGGGCATTTTCCACAGCATTTATTACTTCATTTCTTGGCAACTGTTTCTGCAACTCAACTAAAACAGATTCTCTGTTTTCCTGTACTTTCATACTGATTCCTTTTGTCTTGAGTCTAAGAAGAAGAGAGTTTTTCATATTCTCACCTAATAATGCAAACTGAAGTTTGTACACCAAATCGCTTTGACTTATTACTATTGTTTCAATTTTCTGATCTAAATGTCTGACATCAATATGTACTCTACTCCATACTCTTTGAAGAGGGATTTCTTCACCTAGAAATATAAAGCAAGGACTTGTCTTATGTCTCATGTATTTCAGTTTAAACTTGATGAAACTAAATTAATTTTGTTAGATACTGATTTTTTTTTAAAAGATGGGTTGATTGATATATTTGGAAACAAGGTGTACCTTTATCTTTGTATCACTCTCAGCTTAACTAAAATGTGTCATTATGACTGACTTAAAAATAGGTAGGGGTGATTTAATAATCATAAACAATAAACCTTCACATTAAATCTTTGGATGGTATGCCAAACTGCCCAAAGCAATCAGAAGTTACAGATTTGACAAGCTTGTAGTGGTCACCACTTGTAACCATGAAATAAATCAATATTTGTATGACAAACTGGCCTCAAATCAATAAGAATCATCTACCAGTTCTGACTCATCTACATACCAAAATGAAATGTTTGACTGTGTAGTCATTGTCATCTATTTACTGTTGGACTAGCTTAAAGGGTCAAATGGAAATATGATCTTGACTTTAGAGATAAAACATACCAAAGTTAATAGGGGTAACTACTGGTCATGACCAATGACCACATCAAATATCTAACTCTAGACTAAGGGTTTTAGAAAAGAAGATTTGTGAATGTTTTAGTATATAACTAGAACTGCCACTGTCATGGTGTGAATACCCCCACATACCACTTTGTCAGAATCAACAGTATCATTTAGAGCTCAAGGACAACCTCACTGCCAAATCTGACGGTAGTAAGCCAGAGTATTGCTAAGCTGTGTTTTCTACATGTTTTTTAGTGGCAAAGATCAAAGTGACCTTTACATTTGACCTACTGACCTAATAAATTAAACTGACACTGCATGACTTGAATACTCCCCCCCCCCATTCATGCAGCTTTGCCTGGGGGTGTTTTATGATGAATATATGAGAACATAATTATATGCTTCAAATGTGAAAATGTCAAAATCGATACACTGTGGTCAGGCATTCTTAAGCATTTGAGCAGACAAGCTTATTGTAGGACAAGAACCGGTTGAACCGGGTGATGCTCCCGGGAAAATTTTTGGACACAAAAAAGAATACCTCATGTAGTGTCAGAGTTATGTCTCGGACAAATTTGAAAGGGAAATAACTCCAAAATTAGGAAAGGCAGAGTAATGGTTCTTGAGCACTACTCATTTACCCAATGCGATCTATCTACCTACAAAGTTTCATGTTGATATCTCTTATAGTTTTAGAGTTATGTCCAGGACAAATTTCAAAGTAAAAAAATGAACATAGGGGAATAACTTTAAAATTAGGCAAGGTAGAGTTATGGTTCTTGCGCATTGCACAGCTATTCAATGAGATCTATCTACCTACAAAGTTTCATGTTGATATCTCTTATAGTTTTAGAGTTATGTTCCGGACAAAGTTCAAAGTATAAAAATGAACATAGGGGAATAACTTTAAAATTAGGCAAGGTAGAGTTATGGTTCTTGTGCACTGCACAGCTACTCAATGAGATCTATCTACCTACAAAGTTTCATGTTGATATCTATTATAGTTTTAGAGTTATGTCCCGGACAAAGTTCAAAGTATAAAAATGAACATAGGGGAATAACTTTAAAATTAGGCAAGGTAGAGTTATGGTTCTTGTGCACTGCACAGCTACTCAATGAGATCTATCTACATACAAAGTTTCATGTTGATACCTCTTGTTGTTTCAGAGTTATGTCCCGGACAAAAATAGCAGACGGACGACATACCAAACCCCGGACTAATGCTCAAACCCTTTTCGGGAGCATAAAAAACCCTTTTCCTTAAAAAATTTAAACAATCACCTTTAAACTCAAAAGTCAAAAACCAACCCAATACAAATAAAGACTGTTTACCAAAACATTCTTTAAACAATTGAAAAGGGAGGATAGCCCTTTAACTAAAGCCCCCGGGGACCTTTACCTTGACCAAATGACTTCAAAAAACCCCTAGGGGGCACTATTTTTGGGCAGACTAACTACATGCATAATTAAAACTTTGGGTCAAAGATTTTAATTTAAATTGGGCCAAAAAAAAAGCTTTTTTAAGACAAGGGCCCTTCTGACCTTTTTTTTTTTTTTTTTTTTAAGGGGGGGAATTTCCCGAAAATCAATAGGGGGCATGAAACCCCCCTCAACATTAAAAAATGAAAAACTTTTTGACCAAAGATTCTTTTTGCAAATTGAGGATAAGCTTTAAGAAGTCAAGGCCCCTGTAACCTTGACCTTTGACACAGTGACCTCAAAAGCAATAGGGGTCATCTAATGGTTATGACTAAAGTCCATGCCAAATATGAAGACTGTGGGTCAAAGGAAGCTAAAGTTATTGGGCAGACAAGCTTTTTAAAGTCACGGCCCCTATGACCTTTACCTTTGACCAAGTGACCTCAAAATCAATACCGGTCATTTAATAATCATGACTAACCTTCATGCCAATTATGAAGAGGGTTGGTCAAAGGATTCTTAAGTTATTGGGCGGACAAGACTTTTTTTGTCCCTGTGACCTTGACCTTTTACCTGGTGACCTCAAAATAAATAGAGGTCATCTACTAACCATGACCAATCTCAATACTACATATGAAGACTGTGTGTCAAAGGAATCTTAAGTTATTTGGCAGAAAAGCTTTTTTTAGTCAAGGCACATGTGACATGTATATGATGCGACGGATGATAAAGAACATATTTTCAAAGTAAACTTAAGAGATTTAAACAAGCTATTTTGTAGTCAAGCCACTCAGACCTTGACCTTTGACCAATTGACCTTATCTAGAAGTAATGACCAACCTACAAACCAAATCTTAAAGCACTAGGCCTAAGCCTTTGCTAGTTATGTGTCGGACAAGCTTCAGGTTGTCATAACCACAGTAAAAAGGCTTGGACAACAGATTTCAAAGACAAAGTTATGGACCTGGCAAAATGGTCTAATCATCTTCATATTATGACCTTGGACATACAAGTAACTTTGTGACCTTGAACTTTGAGCTGGAAACCTGGTGCTTTTGTCAAAATGTCCAAGTCACTTCAAACTCCAGTCTGAAATGTCAGAATTCGTTGACCTGACATGACTGCACTTGTATGAAAAATGTTCTCCACAAATCCACCCAGTAGTGGAGGAGATGAATGTTTGAAGAAATTATAAAGTATTAACAGTTGACAAACTACACAAAGACAGACACACTGCCATCACAAAAGCACACCTCTGAGCTCTTTGTGTGCCCCTAGTGAGATAAAATTTCACAAGCTGGAACAAAGATTTTTAAAATATGCAAGAAAAATAAAAAGCCAATTTTACAGTAAATCTATTCAGAATCTCCACTGAGGTCCAAAACCTAACAAGAGCTGTCACAGGAGACAGCCAAGCTCGACTAATAAAATACTGGGCGCAGTAAGGAGGACAAAACTATGAAAATGAAAAAACCAATTATGTATAATTGTGTATTAAGTTATAGTAAAAAAAAAATCATTTGTTAACATAAATTCCAAGATCAAGGGGAATAATTCTAGAAATAGTCATGCTAGAGTTATGAACCTTGTCACACAACATGTGTGTAATGATAAGAACATTTATATTTGAAGTTTGAAGTAGTGATACCTTAAAAAGTAAAGAAGTTATAATATTTCTTAAAGAAAAATCCTAAGTTCAAAGAAAGATAAATTGTAAATATTGCTTCAAGAGTTACGAACATATATGAGGACATTTGTTTGTTTTGCATGTAAGAATGAAATATAATTTCACTGAGTGACACCAGATGCCCAATTATTTTCCCCAAAGGGCGTAACCCCCACGAGTGAAAATATAAATTTGCCCCGGGTTTCCCCGAAAGAAATTATTTTTTTAAATCTTTTTAATTTGTAAAACAAATAAATTTTTCTTTTTTTCAGCTTTTTAATGATTTTGAAGGCCAAAAATTTTTTTGATTGTTTCCCCGGGGGGTAACTTTTGGGGGCATTCTCCCCCCCGGTGAACGTTCAAATTTACATCCCCTTTACCGGTTCCCAATTATCCCATTTTGAAATATAATTTCCTTTTTTTAAAGTTCTCTAAATTTTTGTTTAACCCTTTTTAAACCAAAGATTTAAAAAGGAAAATCGAAAATTCTTTTCCTTAAAAAAAAAGCCCAAAATTTTTTCCCCCCTATGAAAAAGGGCCTTTTTTCCCGCCCGTTTTTTCCATTTGTTTTGATATTCTTTTATTCGCATTCAGATATAGTCCCTTTCAGTGGAAAAATTTAAAATTTTAAATTTCCACTTGTGGTTTTCAGAATAAATCATCTGATATTTACAAAAAAACATGAAACATGGGAAAAAATGTCCATAAAAAGTAATTGATTATAAGGAATAAATTTTTTGAAAATTTTTAGGGAGAACTTTAAAACTAAAAAAGTTTTGTAAAAAAAACATTTTTCTAGTTTTAAAAAATTTTAAATTTATGGGGAGATAATTCTTGCAATTTAGGGTAGAGTTTTTGAACATTGTCCAAAAATAAGATGTGGGATGGATAAAGGGACATTTTAAATTTTAAGTATGAAGTTTTATCCCCTTTAGAAATAAATAAGGGAACAGAAAAAATAAAATTTTTTAAGGAAAAATTTTCCCTTTAGTTTAAGGGGAAAGGAATAAATTAAAAATAATTTGTGCCTAGACGTTATGAACCGTTGTCACATAAGATAGGGATGATGATAAGGTACATATATTTGAAGTATGAGGATTGATCCCTTAAAACCCCCCAAATAAAGAAATTGTAACAGTAAGAAATAGTATTTTTTGAGGAAAATTCTTACTAAGTTCAAGGGGGAGATTAATCTGAAAATATTGGTGCTAGAGTTATGAACCTTTGTCACATAAGATGTGGTTGATGGGTAAGGAACATATATTTGAAGTTTGAAAGTTGATACCTTAAAAAATGACAAATTTATAGTGAAAAAATTTTACTGCACCAAAACTTTAATCTGAAATCTGGACAGGGGGACACCGACGCCTGGGCGAGTAGGACAGCTTTCCATATACTTCGTATAAGTCAAGCTAAAAAAGTAAATTTCAATTTTCTTTCATAGATCAGCCTGGGGCATTCAATACAGAAAGGTCTGCAAAAGATAATAAAGAAATATACATGTACTAAAAATAAATTTGAAAATAGTATTTAATTTCGTGCTCTTCTTAGACCAATTTGAGTGAAAAACATTGCCATGCTTTTCAATTTTGGGTCATTTTTACAATTAGAATAATTACTCTGGTAAAATAAAGTAAGCAAATGGACTTAAATTTTGCACTCAAGTTATTGGTCTTGACCTCAATATCAAATGGAACATTGATATAAGAAAAAAATAATTTCCAGTCTCATCATGTCAAAAAAAACCTCAAGGAGTCCCTTTAAGAAATGGCTTGATAGAAGAAACAAGATTGCATTTGTAAAAAATGCCATGCCACCGCATAAATACAACACTAAGTAGTAATATATGAACACAATTTTTTTTGTTTCTATACAGATTGCCATAATGCATATATCACTTACCTATCTGTAATTATCAGATTAGTACTTTCAGACAATAAGATTTTTATTTTTTTACTTTATGACATAGTGACTGAAAAATCAATGATCCCCAGGGGCAGGGCCAATTTTGACCCCAGGGCTTTAATTTGAATAACCTTGCTAGAGGTTCACTACACAATGTTTAATGCAAAATGTCTCACCTGTAGCCTTTGTCAATTCAAGTAGATGATTTTTTTTTAAGTTTTTACTATATACATGTAAGGAAAACCTATGACCCCCGGGGCGGGGCTAGTTTTGACACTACAGGCAAAATTTGAACAACTTTGGTAGAGTACCTATAGATGATATCATATACCAAATATCAAAGCTCTAAGCCTTGTACCTTCAGACAATAAGATTTTTTAATTTTTAACTATATGTACATAGTGAAAATCAATGACCCCCGGGGGTGGGGCCATTTTTGACCCCAGGGCTATAATTTGTACAATCTTGCTAGAGGTACACTACACTGTTTCATGCAAAATATCTAACCTCTAGCCTTTGTCAATTTAGAGAAGATGATTTTTTAAGTTTTTACTATATACATATAAGGAATACCTATGACCCCCAGGGCAGGGCTAATTTTGACACTAGAGGCAAAATTTAAACAACTTTGGTAGACTACCTATAGATGATATCATATAACAAATATCAAAGCTCTAAGCCTTGTACCTTCAGACAATAAGATTTTTTTGATTTTTTACTAATTGCCAATTTTGACCCCAGGGCTATAATTTGTACAATCTTGCTAAAGGTTTACTACACAATGTTTCATGCAAAATATCAAACATCTAGCCTTTGTGAATTTAGAGAAGATGATTTTTTAAGTTTTTACATATAAGAAAAACTATGACCCCCTGGGTGGGGCTGACTTTGACACTAGAGGCAAACTTTGAACAACTTTGGTAGAGTACCTATAGAAAATAGCACATACCAAATATCAAACCTCTAAGCCTGGTACCTTCAGACAAGAAGGTATTTTAAGTTTTTACTATATGTACATATAGTGAAAATCAATGACCCCCGGGCAGGGCCGGTTTGGACCCCAGGGCTATAATTTGAACAATCTTGGTAGAGGTCTACCAGACAATGCTTTGTGCAAAATATCTAAGCTCTAGGCCTTTTGGGTCTTTACAAGAAGATTTTTTAAATTTATTCTTATAACTCCTTTTGGTTGCCATGGCAACCAGATTTCTGCATGGAATGAAATTCTTTGAACAACTTTGTAAGCCCTTCACCCAAGGATCAATCCTGCCAAGTTTGGTTTAAATTGGACTAGTGGTTTTTCACAAGAAGATTTTTTAAGTTCACTATATAATCTATATAACACACACACACACAAACAAACACACACACACACACACAGGTGAATCGCTATATGCCACCGCATCGCAGATGCTGCGGTGGCATAAAAAACAACATGAAATTGAGTACAACGATCAATAACATAAAACTTTAACGCTTGAACATCATGTAAATGTTCATGCTATACTGTATTTTATATATCTCAGAGATTTAAGCAACATTTCCTAACAGTGGAAGAAGCTGCAGCATGTACTTGTATAAAATAAAAGAAGAAATTGACTATGGAATATGATTTATGCATCTTAAATGAAATAGTACCTCCCGAGGAAGCCATCTCTTCTTCTTTGTCAGGCTTTCTTTGATTTCAGGTGTCAAGCTACATAACAATTTGCTTTCCAAAACTTCCTAAAATATACAGAAAATCTAATTTATCAAAAAAAAAAAAATAACAACAACTGTAAACATGTAATTTTTATTCTGTTGAATGTCATAAAAAATGTACCGTACCAACATGTTTAAACATAAGTATGATTACCAAAGAAAACAACTGACAGAACGTTGCAATGCTACAAAACCGGGTTGTCACCCTTAATGTTTCACAGAAGCTTAGTCATCAAGTGCCTTGGTGCATATTGTCAGAATTTTGCAATTCAAACATTTTCAGGGGTGTTAATTAGTAATACGGTCTTTTGATGTTTTACATACAAATATATATCTATATATAGAGCAACATTGGGTATTACCGTTTATCAGTAGTTATTGACAGTAATAATTATAATGTATTTTAACACGACCCGCATTTTTCCATATTGAACATAGAAGAACCGAAAGTATGTGTTATTATGCTATAAAGTCACTGTTTGACGTTCTATATTTAGACATGTGATGTAATCATTATTCACATGACGTAACCACTAAAATTGTGACGCGTTGACAATAAGTGCGGAAACAAATCAGGCGCAATTTAGTTTAATATCAGGTACGGCAGCATTTATTTGTTGATATCGTGTTAGAATCGAAATAATATATCCAAATCGGTGATTTTATTGCTTGATAAAATCACTGTTTGTCGTTCGGATGCGCATTATTATATCACTCGGGCTATACTTCCCCGCATCCGAACTCCAAACAGTGATGTTTATTGAGCAATAAAATCACAGTTTGGGATATATTATTTCTTAATTATCATGTCCATTATTTAGTACAAAATGGTTATTTTACGTCACTTATGATGTCATCAAGTATCCTGGAAGTCAGCGATGCCATTTTTTTCTGCAGAACCTAAATCACATTCCAACGAAAGCTAGCCATAAATAGGTACCGTATACGTTATTTATTTAAAAACATGCCTTACCCACACAGTTAAAACGGGTATAATCTATTCATTTCTTGCACGTTACTTTAAAGTGTTAAAATCACAATAAATGCCATTTTATATGATTGCATGAACGTTTATCTTTGACAAGTAGTGAAATGATACTGTTTTGATTATGTTTGTCATTATAAGCGGGTTGTCGATGAATACTGACAAAAATTGACCATTAAGGCAAATATCGACAGATTGTGTAAATCATTAAATATGCCTATCTAATGAAAATGTCCTTATTTTTAGTGTTTATTAATTAAAGCTGTAACTTTGTTTTTCATTGTTTTTCATTGTTATTAAGACAGATAGAGATTAATTTATGCTAATTAAATAAAATCAATAGGAGAATTAATCAGATAATACCATTTTACTTCAATTTAATATCTTTTTTTGTATTTAATACATATGTTTTTTTACTTATTTCAGAATGTCTGGCCAACTGTTTACTAAGAAGCAGCGTCAATATTCCCCTACAAAATTGGCGACAGCTCTAACCATGGTTAAGACAGGTGCAATGTCTAAAAATAAAGCTTCTAAAATGTACGGCATACCAAGCACAGCGTTGATAGACAAGTTGTCTAGACGAACAGCGGAGGGGGTGGTACGTCTGGGCCCATCGATTGTCCTCACTTCAGCAGAGGAAGACGTCCTTGTACAATACTCAATACTCATGGCATCAATTGGTTACAGTTTCTGCTGCAACCACTGTAACATGTACCACAAGTGAAACTTGCACAGCTGCCTCTTCTGCTAATGGCTCAACTACGAATAATTGCAAAACTGCGTTCATTAATAGTGTATCTTCTGTTCACTTACCAAATACGGTTTCTTGTAGGCAAACTTTTTTTTCGCCAGCTTTTCAGTGTCTTACTGTTCCAAAGCCAAAGCAACGGAAAGTAGTAAATCGATTTTCAGAAAAATTACCTAAGGCTATTTCTGGTTCTGCAGCACTGAAAATGTTCGAGGAAAGAGAGGCTAAAAAGACTGCCGAATTGGTTGAAAAGTTAAAAAGAAAAGAAGAAAAAGAAAAGAAAAAACTAGAAAAGGAGGAAACGAAAGAAGAAAAAAGATTACAAAGAGAAGAAGCCAAACAAAAAAGGAAGGTGGAAAAAAATTCTAAACAAAAACAGAAACGTTCAAGAAGAGACAGTAGTAGTTCATCAGAAAGTGATACAGTGCGAGTGCAGTTCATGGATTCTGATGACGCCTTTGACGAATCTAAACTCTGCCCCGGATGTAAAACATCAGAGAGCGTTGATGATGATGATGAATGGGTCAAGTGCCTTAAATGCCCATGACAGTGGCACGTGCTTTGTACCAGGGATGCCGTGCTTCTTGAAATCTGGCAAATCAGCTTGCAAACTATCCTTTCTATTGCGAGTACTGTATTCAAAGGGAAAATTATGACAAAATAAAGTAATGTCACTTACTTGTTCTCACAGATCGTTATAAGTAATGAAATAAACTAATGTTATGATCATTTTTCAGGTTTAACATAGTTTTTTTAAAATTTACTTCACCTGTTGATAAATGCCTTCAGTAGTCAGTAACTACCTCACAGTCTTTGTACTGTTAGAACGTTATTGCATTTAATAAACAAAGTAAGTATACAAACATATGAATTTGTTCAACATTAAAGGCAAACTGAATCATCTAAAATAAACTTGGGGTCAAAACGGGAAATTCGGTTTATTTATTACCAAATGATGCTAAACATGTCGATGATACTCGACATTGCTCTATATACTTATAAATGAAACATTGTGAAATATTGATGAAATAAAATGCTTATTTCATTTTCTGTATTTTCACTGCAAAAAAAAATATTTTTTATTGCAGTGATACATATTTTCTGTATTTTCACTGGTGTCTTGCCAGACTATATTTATAAATATAGACACATATAAAAATAGTATACCAACAAAATGTAAAGTAATGAATTTAAAAGCATGCATGGTCTTCCTTGTCCATTCTGTTTATACACGTATCACAATTGGATACTACTAGTTTTTTGTCACTTTGTTAACTTTCACTTTGTTAACAATGTGTTATGTAATTTTGGTAATAAAATATGTTTGTTTCCATGTGTTTTTATTCAATAAATTTAAGTTGATTCTAGAATAAATTTCAAGGTTATATAATTAACTATGATTAACTTATTTACAAAGTGTAATGTATTTTGGTAATAAAATAGGGTTGTTTTTTATGTGTTTTTATTCAATTAAAAGCTGTTTTTAGTATAATTTTCAAAATAATTTATGTAATTAACATATATAAAATGGAAAAAAGGTTTTCATCAGCACTTTGAAAATATGGGTAAAAAAGTTTGTATTTGAACATGAGGCCCAATGATTATTAAACTGTAGCAAATTGTTACTGTGGCAAATTGTTACACAATAAAATACCATCCTTGGATGGCCATGATTTTTTTAATCAAAATATACTGATGTACCAAAGCTACATTATTAGATATTTTTGCTCTGAGTCAGACTCTCATAGTGGGGAGATATTGCCCATACACAAAATAACATAATATCTACATGCATAGTACAATTATAGTTGGACTAGTGGTTGGCAATATCTTCTAGCCCAAGTACGTTTGTGTAATCACAAAAATATAAAAGTGGGAAGTAAACTCAAGAATAATGATGCATTCAATTTTTTTTGTAAATCTTTTCTCTGAATTGAGAATAATTAGTTGCTCCATCTGAAAATCAGATCTTGCCATTTTCAGAAAATAAGGTGATTCATTGACTTTAATGTATATAGGTGCTTGTACAATGTTATGTGCTCGGACAAACTTTTACTGCGAGCTAGAGATTACCTTGCAGACTGTCATAGTTTATGGTTATCCATGCAGGACTGAGATTTAGTTGAATAAAATATTGCTTTTCAGTAGTGTCATGTATAATCTGATATCTACATGTATCACATTTTATATCGGACTAGATCTACTGGTCTGATTTTGGGAAATGGTTTATAATATATGTCAGATTTAGACACAATGTGATTAAAGACATGTTTTTACTGTTAGCTTCTCTGTCAGGCAAAATGCATTGTGATGAATATTACATTATGTATGTAAACTTAAGAATTTGACCTTTCAATTTTTTCGAAATTAGATTTTGTCAAAATTAAATTTGGCATTAGTTATCTACAAATGTATTTAACTACATGTACTTATCGGTATTTTTCTTTATAAAACATCACTTCATTATTTATTTATCTATAGATGTATATTAATAGTAAAAACCAGTGTATATTTATCAATTTTGGCATTTCATATAATGCTTATAATAAGTTGACAAAGATAAATATTTTTAAAATTTAACTACATGTAAGCTATTTGGAAATAAATATGTTAGAAGCAGAACAGATTTAACAGAAGTTAGAACAGAATTAAGCATTAAAAGTCGTCATTACTTATTTCTTTTTCAAAATGAAATTTTATCAAGTAGTATTTTATCCGTTTAGCAATGATTTTGTGCATGCGCCATTCGCCTTTAACTTTTTACCCCATCAGCATATTGCGAAAAATGGCCGTTTTCATTGAAAAGCCTCCTGTTACAAGTTCAAACTGCTATGAAACTATGAAAAATGCTTCAATACTGATGAAACTTGGCACAAATGTTGACTACACCATAGCCTCTGTAACAGCATGCTCAATTGTAAATTTCCTGTTGCCATGGCAACGGGGGGATGTCTCAAAATTGCCAGAAATCACTATTTTGCATTGTTTTTTTCCATCAAAACTGATTTCAAAGTGCTGCAACTTCTCAATGAATTGAGATAGAGTAAAAGGCTTTTCAGCGTCGGTTACTAGTTACCCCAAGATCGACCTGAGGCCATTTTTAACCTGTCACATGTCCAAAATTTTCTTGGCGATGAGGTCCGTCCTCCTTAATTCAAACCCCCCCCCAAACAGAAGGGGGCACATCCCCCTTCTGGCAACCCACTGATGTAACATTTGGATGGGGGACGGCGCCGAAAAAGTGGTCACTTTTTTTAACAACATTTCTCAAACGAAAACCAGTGTCATATATGTCTTCATTGTTTGAGGCCTCAAAAAAGGGGGGGGGGGGAAGGCAAAAAGTCGTCAAAACACGCTTATATAAGGGAAAAGGTTAAGGCAAATAATAAGCATATTTAATTCAAACAAGCATTTTGGAAATACACAACAATAATTTTTGCATCAGATATTGCAGTCAAAATATATTTTGAAAACGAAAGTAGAACAAACAAAAATCCCAAAAATCCAGTAAATCATATCTGAGCATTTAAATACAGGTAGTCATCACATCATTTGAAGGCAAAAAAATATAAGATACCATTGGAAGGACATGTCAAAGCAATTAAAACAATTATTTAGACATTTCAACGCACCTTTCATCTGTTCTTTCCCAATTTATTAAAAGCGAAACAAGAGAATGCGCATGTCTATCAAAGTACTGTACACACATTTCCGGTGTTTCATTGGTTGAACACCACTAAAGCTATTTTCCACATAGGCACTCGAGACAATTACTTGATTCATTTTAACCTTAAGGTACAGCATCGTATTCTATAAAAAGTACTCAAACTACATGTACCTGTTATGAAACACATACTTCAATGAATAAAGGCTATATTAGCATTGTAAGCTGTACTGTAAAGTGTTATAACTAGGTACTATTTTAGTTTTTGGACACTATAAGTGTGATTTGTTATCACAATTTTCCAAACATTTATAAAGTTATTTTCTCTACAAACATTATGTATTGTAATGGGCGATAATATTATAATGAAAGAAATAATTAAGTTACATGTATCCATGTTTTTCAATATTGTACTTCCTCTCACTAATCTCTATATAACTACATGTACATGTATGTAAAGTTTCAATAAGTAGATCCAGTACTACAGAAAAGCAGTATTAAACATTAAAAAGTGAGATCATTAAAAAATAATCAAGGTAGAAATATGGTTTGTACTCCGCACTTTCTCTTTACTAATCTCTGTAATCAAATATTTTTAATACTTTACAATTTATTTTCTGACAATAATTTGGTTTAATCATCATAAAGGGAGATAATTGGAAAATTAACCACGTTAGAATATAGGTGATTTCACTGCATTTCCTTTACTAAAAACTTTTTCTAAATTATTCTATGAACAAGCCTTATAAAATATTATAAGGGGATATTTTTATTTATTTTTATTAATAAATGGTTATTTTTATCAATACAGGGTTATGGTTTATCCGACCCATTTGTACCTATGTAAATATCAATGTTATTATACTAGATATATCTAGTGTTAATATTTATCTTGATAATATTTAGTCATTTATTGAAACCATTTAAAAACTTCCCATAAAATTTATTATCAAACACTTTTTGTTTGTTTGTTTTGGGTTTTACGTCACATCAATACAGTATAGGTCATATCGCGACGTTCCAACTTTACTGGTGGAGGAAGACCTCAGGTGCCCTTCCGTGCATTATTTCAGGCACGAACGGGTACCTGAGTAGAACCACCGACGCTCCGTAAGCTAGCTGGAAAGCTTCCTCACATGAAAGAATCCAAAGTCCCTGTCGGGATTCGAACCCACAGAGGTGAGGGGCATTATCAAACACTTGAAATAGAAATTTTCAACATACATGCATTGTATACGAGCCTATCATTTTCGGGACTCTGTCTCTTTCATAACATCTTGTGATTTATTTTGCTTGTTTTATTAAATTCTTTTAACGTGTCACTGCATTTATGGTATTATTTGAATTGTATTCTTCCACAAACGAAAATCTACACACACAAAACAAAGATATATATCTGTGGATTTTGTAGGATAATTCATTTTGAAAACAAAATTTAAGTATACATGTATTTGGTATGAAATGCATTTCCGCGTGTTGTTAAAAAAATAGTTTATGTAAGTTCAATAATTGATTTCCATTAATTCCTATAGTAAGATGATAGAAATTATGTTATTCCAGAGTCTTGAAAATGACGAGATTTATTTTCTGGTTCTATATAGAAAACCTTTCATGGACATCTGTACTGATAATATTCTACATTTAAAATGCTGAACTACTGTTATTTTTGAAATGGAATACATTTTTAGTAGTTAAGAAACTTCATTTTTTAGGTCTGGAATTTATGAAATGTCGTAGTTTACCAAGAATGAGTGTATTAACTTAAGTGAGCTAATACAAATTATCAGAGTTAGCTAGCTTCTTGGACACTTGGTCACTTTATAATTGTGTGTAGTTTCGATTTAATCACAGAGGAGCTTGAAAGTCTATCAAATAACCAATATTAACGATAATATCCAAAAAAATATCCCCTATATAATATAAAAACAAAAAGAGGATATGTGTTGGATATAATCATTAATTTTGGTTATTTGATAGAATTTCAAGCTCCTGTGATTTAATTCATTCAATATTTTTTATTTTTTTCTCTGGAAAAGAATGAACATGTAACAGACAAATGCACGGGCGATCGCGTGACTTTGCATAGTAATTCAAACGAGTATTGGCGACTTCTGGGCCTCGGTACGTTCATTATTTTTATACATTTAGGTGAGAAACGTATCCTAAATCTTTTTACAATACGATTTTTCCATAGCAACCGATGTCGTATTTCGCGCATGCGCATTCTGCGTAGGACAAAATCGCAATAACGATAGACTACATTTAGCGTACTTGAAGGCTATAAAAGACGTGATTATAAGATGTCAAATGATCACAAAAAGCATTGACACGAGCTGATAGCATACCAATTTTACACAATAAATGCAAAATAATGTTGTAAAATCAAGAAAACTTTGATAAACATGGTGCCGCATTTTTTTTTTATATTATTTTATTTTATTTTTTTTTTTTTTGGGGGGGGGGGGGGGGTGGGGCAAAGGATTACCTAGGCCTGGAAGCAATCTGGACATCAATAGTTTTTTTAAGATAATTCCTTATTAAAATTCTTTGCTTTTGTAGCAGTTGCATTTTATGTCTGTTGTGAACTTTTCTGTGGACTCGGGAATTGCATAATATTTGCTGATATCAGTAGATCTAATTGAACTTTTACTCTCAAATTTGTTAAAACAACACACAAGCAAGCAAAAGCTCATATTTCTAAAATAGTGTTTCTTTTTACATTTGAATTTTAGTTACTTAACTAATTGACTTGGCACGTAACTTACGCATGGAAAGGTGGCAACTATGTGCTTGAGTTATCCTACCTGTATTATTATTATACGACTATACCCCCAGCAGAGCTATTAAAAAAGTGTCTTCTTACGCCTTTTCGTCTTGTCGCTAGCGACAACCGTCAAAGCGCCAAACGGCGCGTTAATTGTCGCGCTCTCGTCTTGTCGTCCTGTCTCTAGCGAAGCACGCCAAACGGCGCGTTGTCGTGCGGCGCGTTATCGCGATGTCGTCCTGTCGCTTGGCTTAGGAGCCAATCCTTCGATTTGAACCGAGCGACAATGTGACATTGCGACAACACATCGCACGACAACGCGCCGTTTGACGTACGTTCATCGTTAGCGACAGGACGACAAGACGAAAGTCCGACAACGCGCCGTTTGACGCTTTGTCGTGTTGTTGCTAGCGCCAACACGACGCACAAAAGCGTTCCAAATCAGCCACCATATTAAGAGGACACTTTTAAATAACCATTACTTTCAACGTGGATTTAGCACAGTTGAAATATACGGTGTCAATCTAGAGACAGTTAAAGGACTAGAACTATTCAAATGCACGATTTTTTTTCTAAAAGTTTTGTCCGCCTTTATGTTTTTTATAGATAAAGTAGCAAGATTTTACATTCTCACAAGATACTTTTCGCGCCATTCAACATTAAATTTGTCTCATGCTTAACTTAAATCCTCGTGCGAATCGAAATGTAAAAATCTTCGCAATGATTAAACTTAATGTTCGCATGTTTCATTCGAGAACTGTAGCTTATTTACAGTGCATGTGACTATATAGAGAAAGTCTTCAAAAGAGAATGTTTAATCTCGCTTCTTATCTATTAAGAAGAGCCAGTGCGCTGCTTGATAGTAAAACAAGAATAATGTAGAATTTCCAAAAAGGGCGATAGTTCTGTCAAAATTCACAATTACAATAGCTCTCCCTATTTTTCGAATAGTTGAGCTAAAACAAGAGATTTAGTCAATCTTAACAGGCGATATTTTAACTGCCTCAAACAGGACACTATAGAAACCGATGGAAAGTAGTGTGAATCTCATGAGAAAATCCAGTTTATCGAGAAATTTGATGGCCATTTCCAGGAACAAAGTAACTGTTGATTTTAGCATTGACAAAACTAACAGTTGTTCGTTGGAAGATGGTACAATACCGTCCGTACGTCCCGAAATCTTGTGAACATAACTCCTCTTAAACCGGATGGCAGATTTTGCTTAAACTTCCAGGTATGAACAATCTTAATGTGTAGATGGCAGAAAAGGAAGGCATTTTCGCTGCGGCCAAATTTAACAGAATTATGGCCCTTTGTTGATTTTTTCACTATATACTATGTAGAAATTTTGTGAACGCAACTCCTCTTAAACCGGATGGCAGATTTTGCTTAAACTTCCATGGATGAATAACCTTAATGTGCAGATGGTAGTAAAGGAAGGAATTTTTGCTGCGACCAAATTGAACAGAATTACGGCCCTTTGTTGATTTTTTCACTATATACCATGAACGCAAAGTTCTCCTCTTAAACCGGATGGCAGATTTTGCTTAAACTTCCAGGGATGAACAACCTTAATGTGTAGATGGAAGTAAAGGAAGGATTTTTTGCTGCGACCAAATTTAACAGAATTATGACAATTTGTTGATTTTTTCACTATATACCATATATATGTTGTCAGTGGGGGCATCCGTGTCCTTTGGACACAGTTCTAGTTTTAGAAAATCTCTCCGTAAGCACTATCTCAAAGAGTATACGTATAAAATGGTAACAATTATAATATGCATATTTGTGTTAAATATACATAACATTTTCACTATAAAATTGCTTCTTTACATGTACAAGAAAGTTAGCAATTTGCACTCTGGTTGTCCTAATCGAAATGATTTTAATAATAAAGTATAGACTCAAATTCTTTAGAATATGACCATGGTCCCATGTGTTTACGCCGGGCACACGAAAGAACCAGGTCTGCTTCTAGAACTGAATACATACAAATGTATTTATGCATTTTCCTCCGGTTTGTAAATAATAAATATGATCATGCACAGGCCTCGCCCAGATGGGCAACAATGAATAAATACAATTAAATAACATTATTCACCATTAGGTTAATTATCATGATGCGGTGCAAGTCTAGCGCTAATGTATACGGTGCCACAATTTAAGGTGCGGACCCATGATACGGTACCAAAAACTCGGTCAGTTGTCACACTTTTATGATTTTTAAAACAAATTAAACAGCTTAAATTTGTGTGCAATATTCTGTG